TTCCCCAACCCCACCCACCCATGGCGCCCCACACTCACTCTCCTTGTCTTTCCCCAACCCCACCTGCCCATGGCACCCCATACTCATTCTCCTTGTCCTTCCCCAACCCCACCTGCCCATGGTACCCCAACTCTCTCCTGGTCCTTTCTCAGCTCCTGCCCATGGCGCCCACACTCACTCTCCCTGTCCTTCCCCAGTGCCCACCCATGGCGCCCACACTCACTCTCCCTGTCCTCCCCCGGTGCCCGCCCGCCCATGGCGCCCGCACTCACTCTCCCTGTCCTTCCCCGGTGCCCGCCCGCCCATGGCGCCCGCACTCACTCTCCCTGTCCTCCCCCGGTGCCCGCCCGCCCATGGCACCCACACTCACTCTCCTTGTCCCTCCCCAGTGCCCGCCCATGGCGCCCACACTCACTCTCCTTGCCCTTCTCCTTGTTCTTGAGCTGCTGCAGCTTCTGCTCCCGGTGCTGCTTCTCCAGCTCCTGCTCCTGGCGGTGCCGCTCCAGCTTCCGCTGGTGTTCCAGCAGCTCCTGCTGGTGCTTCAGGGCCAGCATCTCCTGCTGCTGCTGCAAGCGGGAAAGGAGGAGACAAAGACGGTCAGGACCCCGGCTCCAAAGACATCAAGTCAGGACAGACACACAGGAGAAAACCAGGAACGCCAAGGCATCTCTCCTCCTGCGGCACCTGGCCTGACCTCCACCTGCACAGCATTTCCAAGGCACCTACACTGGCTCCTCCAGTTCCTAAAGGAAGTGAGGGTACTCGAGGCCCTAGCGGGCATCCAGCCCTCAAATACTAAAAATGAAAAGAGAAAGCATTTAAGTGCTAGAAGAAAATACACGTAAGTATTTATTTATGTAATCTTGGGCCTATCCGGGAAGGCCTTTTTGAGAATGACACAGATGTGTGTGACATGGCACGACCACTTGGAAAACTTCTTAGCACTTTCTTACAAAGTCAAACACACACCTGCCCTGAGACCAGCAATTCCACGCCTAGGAATTTATCCAAGAGGAATGAAAACCTATGTCCACACGGCGACCAGTACAGGAGTGGGCATGGCGGATTTACTCCCCGTACCCAAGTGGGACACACCCTAAATGTCCCTCCGCAGGCGACCGCATGAACAAGCTGTGGTATATTCATACCACTCCATAACAACAAATAAAAAAAGAACTACAGATGTACAAGATGACATGGGCGAATCATAAAACAAGGAAAACCGAGCACAATGATGTTAACAAGGCTGTTAATGTGTGGGAAGGGGTAGAGAAGAGTCAGTGTTTCGAGTTTCTGTTCGGATCAGGTGCTAGAAGAGGGGACTGACTGACGGATGAGGACAACGAGTGGAAGGAAGTCATCTCCTGGAGCAGAGCCGGGAGGACTGCAGAGCGGGGACTTTCCAGGGCGACCGAACGGCTCTGTCTGGTTGGGTGGTGTTACAAATGTCAAGACGCACTGGACAGCACTCTGAGTAGCTGTATTCTTTTTTAATCATTGTGCTTTAAGTGAAGGTTTACAATTCAAGTCAGTCTCTCATACAAAAATTTATACATACATTGTTATGTGATCCTAATTGCTCTCCCTATACTGTGACAGCACACTCCTCCTTTCCACCCCTGATTTCCCGTGTCCATTCAACCAGCTCCTGACCCTCTCTGCCTTCTCATCTTGTCTCCGGACAGGAGCTGCCCATTTAGTCTCATGTATCTACTTGAGCTAAGAAGCACATTCTTCCCAAGTATCATTTTATGTCCCATAGTCCAGTCAAATCTTTGTTTGAAGAGTTGGCCTCGGGAATGATTTTAGTTCTGGGTTGACAGAGAGTCCGTGGGCCGTGCCTTCTGGGGATCCTCCAGTCTCAGTCAGACCATTAAGTCTGGACTTTTTACTAGAATTTGAGTTCTGCACCCCACCTTTCTCCTGCTCCATCAGGGACTCTCTGTTGTATTCACTGTCAGGGTGGTCACTGGTGGTAGCTGGGCACCGTCTAGTTCTTCTGGTCTCAGGCTGATGAAGTCTCTGGTTTATGCGGCCCTTTCTGTCTCTTGGGCTAATACTTTCCTTGTGTCTTTGATATTCTTCACTCTCCTTTACTCCAAGTGGTTGGGACCAACTGATGCATCTTAGATGGCTGCTAGCTAGCTTTTAAGACCCCGGACGCAGCTCACAAAGTAGAATGCAGAACATTTTCTTAATAAACTTTGTTATGCATATTGACCTAGATGTCCCCTGAAAGCATGGTCCCCAGATCCCCAGCCCTGCTACTCTGTCACTCTAAGGGTTTGATTATATTCAGGAAACATCTTAGCTTTGGTGTAGTCCGGTTGTGCTGACTTCCCCTGTAGTGTGTGCTGTCCTTCCCTTTGCCTAAGGCAGCATGTTTTCTTTAGACATGGTCGTGTTCCTCCAGCGTCTTGTTATTGGAGCCCTAGAGCTGGGCTCATGGCTCCTAGAGATATCCAGGAAATGTGTGTGTGGGTGTATGTGTGTATGTAGACAAATGGCTGCATCAGCCCCTCGGAGCTTGGGATGGGGGTGGAGAAGTCCCAGGCACAGGTGTCCCCACGCCTTGGGAGACATCTGGGGGCTGGAGGGACAAGGGGAAAGTGACACACAGTCTACTGAGTGCCAGTTAGCTCCACTTGCCCTCCTAGCACAGATGCCACCCAGCTGTCCAGCTCCGTCCACCCTGTGGGCACAGCCTTGCCCTGCTGTCACCCCAGGACTTCCAGAGAAGGCTCCCCAAGAGCACTGTGTCTGCAGGCACTCAACCCGGGACTCTTCACCCCCAGGGGTAGAGAGGCTGAGCAGAGCTGCAAGCATTTATTCCCTACCTCTCTCTCCCCCGGTCTGTGAGCTGCTTCCTGCCTGGCCAGCAACCCCACCCTTCAGTCCACGCCAGGCCAGATGCACCGGCCCACCGCGCAGGGCTCCCACCCTTCTGTGGACTTCCTACTGCTCAGTGACCACCACATGGAGCCCACAGCTGAGCTGGTCCAGCATCTGGTAAGAAAGGAGTCCCTTTTCCCACACTTCCCTCCCATCACATCTGCCGTCCAACCTCCCGCCCAGCTCCCTGAGCACAGGAGGCGCAGGGTGTCCCAGGACCCCTGCCATGGCTGCAGCACCAACACAGGGCCTCTCCTGTGTGCCTGTGGCCCAGATGCAGGGGGCACACCTCGGGTGCCTACCTTCCTGCCTCCCGCCCTGCTCTGCCCGTCTCACCCTGCACTCTGCTCACGCTCTGCTCTGCCTGTGTTACTCTGCTCTCTCCTCCCGGCCGCCTCCATCAGTCTCACTCTCGACTCTCCTCCTGGCCACCTCCATTAGTCTCTCACTCCTAGCTCTCTTTGTGTCGTGGAGAATCTGTCTCTTCTTCCTGTGGCCTCATCAGCCCCTGGAGATGGTCCCAGGCTGGGCTTCATGCCATCTACATACAGCTCAACCAAGTTCACCATCTTTCTCTGTCCAGAGCTCCTGCCCAACCACCAACACCAAAGATGAGGAAATTGAAGATTTTTAACAATATCTGCAGTCTGAAATTGATCAAACATGCAATTGAGATGCATTGATAATGACTGGTGATTGGAATGTGAAAAATGGAAACAAAGAAGGATCGGTAGCTGGAAAATACAGCCTCAGTGATAGAAATGACGCTGGAGATAGCATGATAGAATTTTGCAAGACCAACAACTTATTCACCGCAAATATATATTTTCAACAACATAAATGGTGACTATACATGCCGACCTTGCCGGATGAAATACACAGGAATCAAATCAACTACATCTGTGGAAAGAGATGATGAAGAAGCTCAATACTGTCAGTCAGAAAAAGGCCAGGGGCTGACTGTGGATCAGACCATCAATTGCTCAAATGCAAGTTCAAGTTGAAGCTGAAGAAAATTAAAACAAGCCTACGAGAGCCAAAGTACGACCTTGAGTATATGTCACCTGAATTTATAGACATTTCAAGTATAGATTTGACGCACTGAACACCGATAACCAAAGACTAGATGAGTTGTAGGATGACATCAAGGACGTCATACTTGAAGAAAGTAAAGGGTTATTAAAAAGATAGAAAAAACAAAAAGACCAAAACAGATGTCAGAAGACTCTGAAACTTGCTTTGGAATGTAGAGTAGCTAAAGTGAAAGGAAGAAGTGATGGAGTCAAACAGTTGAGTGGAAAACTTCAAAGGGCGGCTCGAAAAGACAAAGTAAAGTATTATAATGAAATGTCCAAAGATCCAGAGTTAGAAAACCAAAAGGTAAGAACACGCTCAGCATTTCTCAAGCTGAAAGAACTGAAGAAAAAATTCAAGCCTCGAGTTACAATAGTGAAGGATTCTAAGGGGAAAAAAATGAATGATGCAGGAAGCATCAAAAGAAGATGGAAGGAACACACAGTCACTGAACCAAAAAGAACTGGGCAACGTTCAACCATTTCAGGAGGTAGCATATGAACAGGAACCAATGGTACTGAAGGAAGAAGTCCAAGCTGCACTGCAGGCTTTAGCGAAAAACAAGGCTCCAGGAATTGACAGAATACCGACTGAGATGTTTCAACAAAGGGATGCAGCGCTGGAAGTGCTCGCTCATCTATGCCAAGAAATTTGGAAGACATCTACCTGGCCAACCGACTGGAAGAGATCCATATATGTGCCCATTCCAAATAAAGATGATCCAACAAAATGTGGAAATTATCAAACAATATCATTAATATCACATGCAAGTAAAATTTTGCTGAAGATCATTCAAAAACAGTTGCAGCAGTACAGCAACAGGGAATTGCCAGAAATTCAAGCCAGATTCAGAAGAGGACATGGAATGAGGTGTATCACTGTTGATGTCAGATGGATATTGGCTGAAAGCAGAGGATACCAGAAAGATGTTTACCTGTGTTTTATTGACTATGCAAAGGCATTGGACTGCGTGGATCATGACAAATTATGGATAACATTGCAAAGCATGGAAATTCCAGGAGAGTTAATTGTGCTCATGCACAGCCTCTACACAGACCAAGAGGCAGTTATTTCAACAGAACAAAGGAATATTGCTTGGTTTAAAATCATGAAAGGTGTGTGTCAAGGATGTATGCTTTCACCATACATATTCAATCTGTATGCTGAGCAAATAATCCAAGAAGCTGGACTATATGAAGAAGAAACGAAGTGTCAGGAATGGAGGAAGACTCAATAACACCTGCTATATGCAGATAACACAACCTTGCTTGCTGAAAATGAAGAGGACTTGAAGCACTTACAGATGAAGATCAAAGACTATAGCCTTCAGTATGGATTGTACCTCAACATAAAGAAAACAAAAATCCTCACAACTGGACCAATGAGCAACATCATGATAAATGGAGAAAACTATTGAAGTTGTCAAGGATTTTATTTTACTTGGATCCGTAAATCCACACCTATGGAAGCAGCAGTCAAGAAATCAAATGACATATTGCACTGGACAAATCTGCTGCAAAAGACTTCTTTAAAGTGTTCAAAAGCAAAGATATCACCTTGAGGACTAAGGTGCACCTGGCCCAAGCCATGGAATTTTCAA